AGCTGACATTCTTTGTCATGGTACCCTGCTGCAAGGTTGGTTTCTGGATTTAGTTTTTACCATTTTAAATACATTTCAACATAACAACTGATGCAACTTTCTGTACCAGACGCCAAAACGTAGATATCAGTCATTCATGGAAAAATGTCTTAAATGGTAAACTGTACAACTGTCCACAGCATATATGATAGCTGCTGTTTTGTGTCTTGCAGTTTGTGAGTGGACGTTCACAGCAACATGCCAACATGCCACTTTAGTGAAAACTCAAAACAAAAATTTAGTGGCATGGTCCCCTTGGGCTAGATGTTCTATTTAGGTCATATTTTATGTAATAGACACAAATGTGGCACAAGGAGACTTTTAATATATTTTAATATAAGGATACATCCTTACATAGCAACGTGGTAGTCATCAGTTCCTATTCTTGTCCACTTTGTCACAAATAAACTTCAGAAAAAATGGATAAGGAGGATGCAAAAAATAGGAGAAGAGTTAAGCAAGCAGATGGTGGAAGCAGTGTGTCCTTATTCTTTCCCTGTCAAGCTTTTGAACTCTCCAACATCGGCCTGTTATATACATTCAGGGATTCAGCTGAGTGCTCGGATACAACAAGCACAGACACACAAATCCTGCTAAGCTCTCTCTCTCTCTCTTTCCTTTCATCCTTGATTGTACCCTTCCTCAAATACTGTCGGCTTTTTTTTTACAGTCTGGATATTTCTCCTATTCATTGAGGAGGGATTTGCTCTGGCACAAAAGACTAAAGGTAAGATTGATATATGCGCAGCACTCCTTTTCATCAGGGCAGTAAATTAAATCAAGACTTATTCTAATTTATTTAAAGATCAGTGAAGTTTTTTGCACATTTAGTCATAAAATTGCCTCTCAGGTGTCTGTCGTTAAATGTCAGAATGTTTTTTTATCATATTCATACAGATGGAGGTGCAGGATCAAAAGGGGTCAAACCCTCTCAACGGCCGCAGCATCACTGTGGAAACTGGGTACGAAACACAGATGGTGGAAGCTTCAGCTCCCCAAACTACCCCCATACATACCCTCCCAACAAGGAGTGCCTGTACGTACTGGAAGGTAACCAACAGCATGCAACGGAGCCTCACAGCTGTGAAACCAATTTTTGTAAATGTTGCACATTTTTGCATTAAATTAGGTCAGAATCTTCCAGGAGCTCTGGTGGAAATTAAAGGGAATCCAAGAAACAAAATAATACTCACATACGTATTTGTGATGATCAAGAATGCAGTCTGTTGTTGTTGCCAATAACATCAACATTGCTCATCATAAATTGGTCCCACACTGTGTTTGGATTACATTTAAGGATTCTGAACAGTATTCTCAGTTTCAGTATTCACTTTTACCCTCTATGGTCATTAAAGTACAAACAAGCTGGCAGGCAATAACTTTTTCTCAGTGCATTCCTCATTATCTAGCACACCAAACAATGCATAACACTTTGTTGTCATGTTGCACATTAGTTTCCCTTTAATTGCTTCTGGAGCCCCCAGAACAGCCAAACTTACAGTTATTCTGTGTGAAAACATCAACAACGCTGAGGATATTTTGAAGGGAGCAAATATTTTTTCACTGCATTGTCCATTGTCTGGTAGCATTATCTCCCTGAATCAGCTCTGTGGCAGTAGATGTTACACAGCACTCTGCTTCCCTTAGCCCTGCCCCGCCAGAGGATAGAGCTGCTGTTTGATGAGAACTTCTACATCGAGGCCTCATTTGAGTGTCGTTTCGACCACATCGAGGTGCGGGACGGCCCCTTCAGCTTCTCGCCGCTCATCAATCGCTTCTGTGGCTCGGCCAGTCCCAGACTCGTCCTCTCTAGCGGACGCTTCATGTGGATCCGCTTCTTCAGTGATGAAGAGCTGGAGGGGATTGGCTTCCAGGTCCAGTACAGCTTTACTGCAGGTGATTAAAACACAGTGGGATGGTTTATTGATCCCTGTATAACAATGTTCTTAACGCACCACCCTGGTACTCACTGAATGTTCATCCAGTCTGCTCAAATAATGTTTCAATCACATGTCCCTGCTGTTATTAACAAATCAAATATCTTTACTTTCACTGAAAATACCTCTGATAGTGTCACATCTCACTCTCTGCCTTTATGATTTCCTCCAAAGATCCTGAATTTCATTTGCATGTGGGAGGACTCTTAAACCCCATCCCAGGTAGCGCAACCACACAGCTCAGCCTACTCAAATAACTTAAGTCGTACTTCTTTGTTACATCTCTTATGTTTAATCTTTTCCTTTCCTTTTGTCTGCCTGTTATTATCCTTTCTTGCTGTCTGTGGGTCAGATTGTCAGTTCGAGCTGACTGGGCCTGACGGCCTGATCCGTTCCAGTCAGGTGGAGGAGGAGTATAAAGTGAAGCCAGACCAGGCAGTGGACTGCATCTGGACTATACGGGCACCAACAAACAACAGGGTATTTGACATGTTAAAGTTTTACATTTTTGCCAGTTATCTAATGTAAAACAGCAGAATAGGTTTATTAGTAATAACAGGATGCTAATATAAGGGAAGAAGGCTGAGGAAAAGTAAAAGTATGGTGGTAAAAGTTGAGAAATATTAAGATTATGTTTAGGAGAGGGGATGTGATTCATTGGTGGCAAAATGACAAACAGCACAGTGGTTGAAATGACGACTCTCCAGCCTGCAGTGCATTTTAGACTCCACATCTGTTGTGGCATGTTTGCTCCATATCCTTTACATAATCATAAAGACAAAGCGTGTGGATTTAAAGTTCAAAAACCCCAGATAAATGCACTACATTTGTTATCAAACATTCACTGACAGCACATCCACAGCTTGATGTAAGTGCACATGAAGTATAAAGCAAAACATATGCACTGATAATCCAACATAAGTACACACCCCCTAAAGCTAGCTTAAAATGGTTTATTTATGTTTGATCTTTTAATGCAGTGATATCTTCAGACAAGACATGTACACTAAACAAATACAAAATACGCACAGTATATCTCTCATCGTTGCTTATTGCAGATTTACCTGCGATTCTTGGAATACCAGATGGAAAACTCAAATGAATGTAAGAAGAACTTTGTGGCTGTTTATGATGGCAGTAATGCCATTGAGGACCTAAAGGTAATACACTTTATAATATGTGTAATATTCAGTATGCTACTCCAGCCAAAAGAAATAAACCCCTCTGATTGGTACTTTATTTATTGCACATTTTAGTGCATTATAATATCATTTCCAAGTGCTCAAGTGCCTGCTCATGGTGGAAATTTATGTAAATAATACCCTAATGAGTTCGGTCTAGACCTGTTTGAAAAGTGTCCTGAGATAACTTCTGTTATGATTTGGCACTATGCAAATAAAAAATTTTGAATTGACTTTTTGAATTTCTTTCCATGCCATACATGCTTATAATATATGAATCATAAATATGCAGCACCTGTTCTACAGACCTTGGCATCAATGAGACTGCACATCCAACACTGTATGAGAAAATGGTGCGTGGTTTCTTGCAGGCCAAGTTTTGTAGTACAGTAGCTAATGACATCATGCTGGATACTGGTGTGGGGGTAGTGAGGATGTGGGCTGACGAGACAAGCCGTCTCAGCCGTTTCCGGATGCTGTTCACTTCTTTTGCTGACCGTGAGTTTCTCCTTTAGATTATTTTTAACCTCTGTCTTTTTACATTTTTACCAATGTCCCTTTTGTTTAGTTTCTGCAGCTGTGACAGGGCAGGTACAGTACATAGATTGGATGTATGATTGCAAACAGATTTGTGGCAGCACCCTCCAGTGGTTTTTATGTAGCACTGCAGACTTTTAAAAGAGTAAAGTCTCGGTAGCAGTTGTAGAAAATGCATTCAGTTATATAATGTATGGAAATAGTACAAAAATGCTGGGTTTCCGTGTATCTTTTTGAAAAGATCCATAAGTCAGTAAGCACTTTCTAAATGGGATCCTTTTTACACAACTTAAAAAAAAACATTAATTTCCTTTTACTGTTATTGGCTTTAGTTGCTTTGTCAGCCTGTTTGCATTACATATTGATACACCTGTGTTTGTGTTTCAGCACCCTGTGCAGGCAGTGCATTCTTTTGCCACAGTAACATGTGCATCAACACTACTCTGGTGTGCAACGGCATACAAAACTGTGTCTTTCCCTGGGATGAAAGCAACTGCAAAGGTATTCCAGTTGTGCCAAAGCATTCTGTAATTTTTTCTTTGAAAATCAGCAGTGTTGTATTATAGCTAGGTTGTGTCGTGTTATGTATTATGATACATTTTGTGTCCGGCTCTGTTAATATATAACTGTACACACCCCCTCTACTTTTTTTCAATTATTTCTCAAGTCGTCTTTGTAATTTTTTACCCTGATACCACAGTGCATATTAGTAAATGTTGGACAGTACAGAATATTCCTCCCAAATATCCTCTTGCCAGAAAAATAATGATCTCATCATCTTTAATTTCTTTCAAGCCAAAAAACCTTCAAGGCCTCTTGGCTGTGTAATGGATCCTGAGCACCTCAACTGATTTGAATGGCTGTTAATCACAGCTTTGGCTTTTAGTGAAGGCTTCAAATTGTTCCTGGAAACCAAAGATACAGACTGTCCTGAAGGGGGTGGCAACAAATAAATGACTGATTCACTCTCAGTACCTCTAAATGCCCCTCATATTTTAACTCTCTTTGTCACTCTCTTCGTATCCATCATCCAGAAAAAAAGAGCAAAGGTGTTTTTCACCAGATCACAAAGACTCATGGCACAGTAATCTGTGTGTCTACGGGAGTGGTGCTACTGCTCCTTATCGTCTCCATACTGGTGCAAGTCAAACAGCCACGAAAAAAGGTAATTAGGACCAGTCATAATGAAATTATTTTGTATCATGCCACAAAATATTGGTATTAAAATAGCGAATTCATCAAGTGTGTTCAATCATACTTTGAAGGTATTGGTACGTAAGAATAACCTGTTCCACCGGGGCGACTTCCAGGAGGTGTTTGACCCCCCACATTATGAACTCTTTACTCTCAGAGATAAGGTAAGTATAATTACTTTGATTATGTTTACTTAGCTGCACATGGCAATCTTTTAAAATCACAAATGTAACATTATCCATATTAGGAGATTTCTGGGGACCTCGGGGAATTATCAGAGGAACTCCAGTCCCTGCAGGCGCTCAGAAGATCCTCATCAGGCTCACGCTGCATTCACGAACACCACTGTGGCTCCCAGGCTTCTGTCAACTCCATCAAAGCCAGTCTAGGTGCACATGGCATGGGCCGGGGATCTATGGAGCTTCCCCCTTTCAGAGGGGACTGCCAGAACACCTTACCTCCCCTCAGGGACTTTAACAATAGTCTGCGGAAGAAGAGCTGGCCTAGTATGAAACCAGGCCGAATGCAGGGCCATCATGGTGTGGGGGATAGGGCACTGGGGCGGCAGGATAGAGTGATGGAAGAGGATGAAGAGGAGGATGAAGATGGAAGGTATGATGTGTATGTACGCAGAGCAGGAAGCCGAAGAGGGAACTTTGAAATGGCCCAGCAAAGATCCTTGTCTATGGACTTCTGAAAAGAAAGGTTGGCACGATAAATACTGCAGCAACAACTTTTCAATCAGTGCCACAGTTTGGGGGCAGAACTCACAATTTAACACCACAGAGCGGATATGTCTCACTTAACTTCTTCATAATGAAAATAATTATAAAGAATTTGTCCTTGACTTCTCATTTTTCGCTTGCAACCTTCTCAGTGAGGTTAGAAAAATGTAGGATGTGATACAGAGCAGTGCTCCAGGAGCTTCAGCACTGCCAACCCGGCTTGGACACTGCGACAGTTGACAGGGAGCTGTTATTGTGTTTGTGATCAGTGTAAAAGTGAAGAAAGATGATAATGCTCTGTATTGCTGTTGTTATCAGTGTATTTTGTAAAATATATTTTACTGTAAAGCAAATAGATTTTGTTGAAATATGTTTTCAGTTAGTGTTTAGGTTCTGAAAGATTTTAAGAAGTGATGAGATTTTAGGCAAACAATGAAAAAAATGACCTCTCAGTTTTTCATCTGTTATTACCTGTAATAAAGAATAAATATTTACATCTCTGCATCAGTGGTTTAAAAAAAGTCTACTTTTAACAGATATGAAATTAGCGTTAGCAGTTAAACAGTGCTCTTTCCTATGAGAGAGGTGTGTGTTGATCAGTGACCTTCAAAAGGTGTGTTACAGGTAGGAGGATTGGAATTTCCAATATAAAGTTAACTGGTGTTGTATAATCCCGTTGTATAACCACCAAAAGCACCTATTTATTTTCCAATGGCACGCCCATCATTATCTAACACTAGAAAACTTTAATTTTCCCTTTTTCCTGTAGGCACTGAACATAACTGATGGGTTAGTGGGTTTTAACTCTAATGCAGAGAATCCAATGAAGTTAGGAAGGCTGTTGATTAACAAGACCAATATAAAGAATAATTTATTTTTATAATATGATAGGACCACAAATTACCACCTTTCACATCATAACCTTTGACTGAAGGCTATAACAGACTGCCTTTAACAAATTGTGTCTGAATGATGATGTCAGTGAGGATTGAAAATGTGCTTATGTGAAAATTATTCATATACTTTAATCTTAAGTGTTTTTCTAAATTCCCCCAAATGTATGTGTTACTTTCACTTTTCTCATGCATGCACGGCTTTGTGGTCACTGTGCCAAACTACATAGATAACCTTGGAGCTACAGGACAAAACACATTTAGAAATCCAGAAAGTTATCTCTAAGCCACAGCCTCGCAGTTTAGCCAGCAAATCTGTGGGGTTCATTCATCATATTCAGGAAATTCACTGGGCAGATAATTAATGGAGCAACTATGCGTACACACAGACAAACACATGAACATGCACCCTTGTGGCTTCAGTATGGCTGCTGTTTATGCCAGTGAGCTCTGCCATGTACTTCGTGTTTGACCTTTAAGAATAGTCTGATATTACTATATATAGAGTAATTACTACGATAAAAAAAGATTTCCTCTGGTTGGCCTCTTTGTACACACATAAAAGTATGACCACACAGCTGACAAATAGTGTAAATGGGTCACTCCTAATAACTATTAGAAGGAACAAGATTTTTCTATTACAGGGAATTGCACATTTGCTGAGTATGGATGGTTTTTCAGTAACACTCTGGTACACAGCCATTTTTATCACGTGATATCTATGAATAGGCAGGATATCTGGAGCACATCCAATAATGGATTTCCCCAAGGAAACTGAAATCAGGTCAAGGTGTGGTCTGTATGGTTTTTTGTCTTACTGTAATATGACTCAAGAAAAAAAAAAAGAAAAACACAGCTCAGCAGAACTGATTAAGAATATTTTGTACACAAGCAAAACAAATCAGACATATGTCAAATCTGTTTGTTTTATTTCTGTCTGATTTCAGGGTTCAACTGTTAGATTGTTAAAAGCCCTTTGTTCTGTATAACACTTTTTATTGTATGCATAAATCCCACCTACAGGTGACTGTGTTGCCTTCAGAAAAGGAACTGAACATCAAGTTTACTTTACAGTACAACAGATAAATGAGTCAGGTGATCACCTACATGAGCAGCAACAGGTTTGCCTGCAGTCTGTCAAATATTAATAGAGTTTAACTCAAAGACAGACACACATGCTTTAACGTGGAGTTTAGGATACTATAACATGAGTGTACTGTTCTTTGTGCCTCTGTGAACAATAATATAGTAGATATGGCACATGTGTGACCTCAGCTATGCAACCACACATTTTTCACGAGATATGTTAACAGTTGTGGTCGTACACAGACATGACAAAGCAGAAATTGTGTTCCTTCTCTTGTCATTCCTCACTGTTCCAGCACATATGTGCCCCTGAGACTGAACTCCTGTCATCATAGGTGACACGTGCTTCTGCAAAGTGTACAACCCTGACAGGTTTTTCATCATTCTTGTCTCGCATCACAGTACAGAGTACTGAGAGACTGCTGAATAATAAGTCAATAATAAATCCATTGTTTCAAAAGCAGTAGACAATTAAACAATATAAATATATGTGATAAAACATAATAAAGTAGAAATCACACACCACAATTCTCTATGACATCTTAAAATCTTAATAAAACAGTACATTAATTGCACATATATAAATACAACACAATACTAATATTTATCCACAAGTTTTTTTGTCTCCATTTATATTAAACAATATGCTACTATACTGTAGGCTACTATGACTGTTGTGTTCATGAGAAAAACAGCAGCTGCAATGAAAAACACTGCATCAGTCGTTGTATGTTTAAAGTGTCTTTGTGTGTCCTTTATCATTTTGTTCTGTTTCTTTTTTTTTCCTCAGGCCAAAAATGAGAACATGTTCATGTTTCAGTCTAAATTGTCATGAAGTCATGAAGTGTGCAAGCATGCAGTCAGTCTTTCTCAGGCCAATTGTGTTGTCACGGCACAACAATGTCTCTCAGTGCCTTTAGAGTCAACATGTGCTGCTCAGTGATTCATCAAAGAAGGCCACGCGGTCGTGTGCCACCAGGGGTGTATTCTCCCCAAGAACGGCCTCCGTGAAGTTGGGCCGTCTCCAGGCGTAAACCATACTGTTCAGGAAGCCTTGCAAGGACACACCGGCAGCCTGAAATAAAGAAAAAAAATACTATAACCTGCAACTCAGACGTAAGAGGAAATTTTAATATTCTAATTTAAAATTAAAAATTAAAAAAAAAAGGTCTTGCGTTTCTGCAACTTACCTGTATCATATAAAGACCAAATAGGCTGCGTTGTTCGACTTTTGTCCAGATCATCAGGGTAGACAGCAGAATGAGGACAAGAGCTACAGCAGGAGGAAACATAAGACATCAATCTGATGTAGACTATGGAATATATTACATTAGCTTTAAATGTGCACGTGTCTATATGTACCTGGTGCCCAGCAGAATAAGATGACCATCACCATATTTCTTGCCGTAGAAAACACTTTTTTGAATCTTCTTCTTGAACGTCCATCTCCCTCCACCGGAAAAAGCCCCTCCTGTTCATGTCTTTCATACCATTTACCAACCTTATAGTAAATGACCTGAAACAAGAAAGAAATATTATAGCCAACGTAAATATATTATTCAAGCATTTAGATAGCAATAACTATATTTACATAATATTTAAGGAAAATATGACACAGTTACATGTTAAAGAAAGTTATCCAAATTCCTCTTAACATAATGTGATTGTTTAGGACTTACAGAGCAAGAAAACATTGCTGGTATCACAACGAGGAAAAGGAAAACTCGGATGAAAGTATCGTGTATTATCTCCTGGGAAGAAAAAAAAACATCTTAGTACAAACGCTCAACATTAGTTGAAGCTGCCTTGCATTATTCTTTTTATGAGAAACTATAACAAAATGCTGGTATAATAAATGCAACATACAACAATAACATTCAAATTCAGTTAAATTAAATAATAATACAACTAATTGAAAAGCTGGGAAATGAAATACTGCAAATTAAAAATGAATGCATAGAAGAAAAGCCTTAAAAGCAAGTTTATGAAAGTGTTTCATGAAACAGTTTTATACTCACAGCATCAGAGCAGGAGTCCCTCCAGACATGCAAGAACAAAATGCAACTGAGAAAAAAAGAGATTATCAAAAAGGTCAAAAACACAGGGGAACAGACCTATTTCACTTCTGAACCGTTTTGGCTTTAAAGAAGGTTAATCATGCATGTTGTGTGCTCACCTGGTGCAGTATTTGGTATCGTTACAGACAAGCTCGTTCTTTGATGTGTCAGTGGTTGGAATCAGCATTGTAGTTTTTATGAAAGGAGTGAGCACATATGCTAGGTATATTGCAAAGGGGATCAACCTGTAATATTAGACAAACAGAGAAACAAAATTAAATTGTGTTTACCAGGAATAAGGTATTTAACCATACAGTATTTAAAAAGAAGCTAGACAAACTCACCAGACAATGAAATATACAGGTGTAGTGACTATTGTCCTTCTACACTGACTCTGCAAACCAGACAGACAGGGAGGATGAAGTTACTGAATTAGTCCTGACAGTTTTTTTTGCACAATTTATTATCTACAGATGCAATGGATGCCTCACCTGTCCACTCTCATCCTCTGTGGGGCTTGCTCTCCACCCTTGGATTGCGCTCTTTGACTGCCATGCGTAAACCACCACCAGCAAAAATGAAATAAAATAAAATGTCTGAAACAAAACGGACAAAGACACAAAGATGCATAAGTGAGGGAGGAGTGTAACAATATATTTTAGCACAATATATAAAAGTGATGCATCATGAAGTACTGGAAGTACATCACTTGAAAGGCTGAATTAAATGTCATTAAGACATCCTGTTCTTTGTATTTTCCAGTCAAAGAAAAATTATTTGGAAAGTAAGATTTGTGAATTTTTTTTAGATTTGAAGAAGGATTTTTGTACAGCCATAGTTTATTTTCATTTTAGATTTGTTATAAATATATTGTGTATCATCCTGTAACTTTATCATCACAGCCCTAGTAGTCAGAATTATTATGCAATGTTGGGCTCAAACTCATTCTCTCCTCTGGCATGAGATGTGCACAGACCTGGACAGGAGGACTCTACAGCGAGTACTTGAACCTGTCCAGAAGATCATTGGTACTCAGTTACTCAGTATCAGGGATATTAGTGAGGTGAGGTGCCTGTGCTGAGCCCAGAGGACACTAAAAGACAGCACCCACCCCAGCCACAGCCTGTTCACCTGCTGCCATCTGGGAAGAGGTTCAGAAGTTTCCGCTGCCGTACCACCAGACTTAAAGAGCTTCTTCCCTCAGGCTGTTAAATTCATCCTTCATCATGCAAACTAGTATTATTTTTATTTGTATGACCTATTTATCAATTTGTTTTACGAGTTGCACAAAGGGAACTATATCTAACTTTCATTATACAACCCTCTGTTATAAATGACAATATAATAACCTTGAATGCTACTGTAGAAAATAGGCTGTTGCTTATTCACAGGAGGGAAGCAGTGAAGTCGTAGATCTTTTTCCATAAATATTAGCTACTACTTTAGCTGAACTTTAAAAATGCAGACCAGCATATTAATTATTCTCTAATATTATATTTCTTTAGCAGTTTGCTATGGGCAAATACCATCTTATACATCTTTTATAATTTGTGTCTTCGTTGTTGGTTCAAACGACAGCTTCGTTAACAAGCTCGAGCCCAATAGATTCTACATCCATATAAAAAGATAAAATAGTGTTAAAAGCGGATATTATTAATTTTAGCCTTGGGGTCACTTCATTTTCATATCCATCAATTCAGAAATGTAAACTGTCACAGTTATTTTTGGCTTTGATTAAATATTGGACTTTTGAAAGGCTAAATATTCTCCATATCTGTATTTTGAAAGATATTCACATTGTGAACTGAATGACACTGAATAACGCTGGACTACATTACATTTTTTTCTGTTTGTTTTATGTAAAGTCAATATCTACTCTACCCTTAACTCTTATCGCTGTAAAATATAATGTTCATTCAGAAAACTTTAAGTTGAGACAAAAACATTTTAACACTTAAACTTTTTATTCATGACAGGGAAAGCTTGAGAGATGGTAAGAAAGAGGGCCACAGGTTGGAACCGAACCTGGACCACTGCAGTAAGGACTTCAGCCTTTGTATATGGGGCGCACGCTCTATGAGGTAAGTTACCTGGGCACTGTTTATAATTACAGATATTACGGCATGAAACATGCAGTTTCACCTCTCAGTCTAGGGAAACAATGTGGAGACAGTTACATAACTTAAGATATGACACAGTGAAACTGCTTACCACTTTGCTTTATAGATGCAATATAAGGAAAAGAACATGGGGTTTGTTTTACTGCTTACATTTACAGTCTCAAGTGACTCGGGGAAAATCCTGCAATGCTGTGATTTAAGACTGAGACAGTGATCTCATCTTCAATGTTGAAAACTACAAAGACTTTAGTTGGTAAGTACCCAAATCAAAGTAGATGTATTTACCCAGTACCTCTTCTTTCATTTGCAAGGCTAAATGGTCTAAGAGAGTGAAAGTAACTGTTTCTTACCAGTGACAGCGGCAGGCTGTATTGGCAGATGGTTACACTGTTGTCCATGCTAACTTTGTTCATGGCACTGGTGAACATCAGGATCACAGCAGCCAGGAGGTCTGCCAGGGCGAGCTGCACCAGGAGGTGCACCTACAAAACAAATAAACATAAAGGTTGTTTCTTCGCTGTGAACCTGCAATATGCATATGAAAAAAAACAAACACATTTCCTGCTGCCTTTTGTGTAACTAGAATATTCTGTACCAAAACACTTAGATGTGGCAGTGACAAGGTGCAGAGCTACACAGACATGCTATCAAAAATAGACACACACACACACACACATACACACACACACACAGGAATGTACATACACAAATACAACCTGACTCACCTGTTCTTTTAGATGCCTCCATCTCACTATAGAAACCACCAGGACAGAAAAACTCCCAATCACACTGCAGGTAATCAGAAATATGTGAAGTATTAAATAACCATAGATGCTGGTGAAATGATATCAGCACTCCATTCATTTTGGTGTATACAGTTTAAAATGAATAAGGAGTGAATAAACTGACACTACATTAACACTAAAACTGCGCCAAGATACTTTTATTGCACAGACCAGCGTGTCTGAGGATGAGGTTGACTTTTGTGTCTGAAAGACAACATGTGACACCTGCATAAAAAGCTGTAAAATGGCACACAAGTTAAATTATAACCCTCGTCATGGCTCCATAAAAACTAACTGAAGGCACATTAATTGTTTTCCCTCGCATTTTCTCCACCAGTTTGTCCTCTTATTGTTTTTCTTTCTTTGTTACAAGCAGAAAACAGAAAGTGAGAGACTCATAAAGAAAGACACAGCAAACAGAGTGAGTTCACTGAGGGAGATTTTAGGTTTACAGCAGCAACAAATATCCTGTGAGCAACAACTTAGTGCTCAACATTAAATTTTTAGTAAGTAATAGAGGTGGCAATAATTATGAGAACAGAAACTTCATGTTCATGTTCATGTGCATGTCAAGAACACTGGATCCATAAAGAGAACCCAAGCCCGCCTCTCGTTACTCATTGTCTTTGGCAAACCTCTCAACCATCGCAAAACTCTCAACAATCTGGAAACTGAAATTTAAAGATTATTTCTCTGCTGATATAAAAAGACTGACTGTACAACCCAACTAAAAACATGTTTTTACGCCACAATCTGGTTGTTATACAACCTTCTGGTGTAAATAAATAGCATTCAATGCTGGTCAGGTAAATCAAGCATGAAAAGTATGAGGAAGCATATTACCTGAAAGTGAGCAACACTAAGTACTCAGTAGAGAGAATATCAATCTAAAAAACAGAATTCAGACACGTTATCAGAAATGTAATATCCTTCCTAAATGTTGTCATGCAAAGAAGCTGTTCATTTTATTTATTTTAATGTATTTATGCACAGAAAAGTAATAAAGTGTAACGCTTACCTGGTCTCCACTTAGTATACCACTGGGGTCCATGGTAAATATTCAAGTCTATTCAAAACTCACACTGGTTGGGCTCAACTCAACAACCTGCCTCCGTAACAGGCCTCAGTGAAAATGTGTTTTCTTAGCAAAGTACACCTCTATAAAAGTCTGCACCTTGTCACGTGCTGCTGTTCTGACTCCACCTGCTTTGAATGTGTGCTTGCCAGGTAAGTGTCACTGCAGGGCTTTCAGATGGGAATACCCAGGTGAACTGGGAATATTGTTTTACTTCCATTGTCTCAAGAAATGAATACATTTCCCATTTGGACTGTTTGGATTTTTACCCTCTGTTGGTTATTAGAGCCCAGTTTCCTACCAAAATACATATCCCTTATTTCCCCTGCCATGCTAAATGTTTAACATATGCTGTTATGATAATTTCTCTGTAATGTGTTTTTTTTTATATATTTTTTTTATTCATAACTAACACACACACACACAATGTAGCTGTTACATCAAGGTTCACAACACACTTATATTATGAGAGAAGTCTGTGTTACAAAGACATCTATTGGTAGGAATCGAACCTCCATTTCATGACGCGTGATGAAAACAACTTAATAATTAAATAAAAATAAAATAAACCCATTGTGTTAAAGTCACTTTTTTTTTTATATGCCCCAAAAAAAAAAATAATAATGACGGCGCGTTGTGTGAACAGAACCGCTTTTAACCTGTCAGAAAAACAACAACAACAACAACAACAACAACAAAGCGCGTGTTTTTAAAAACGTCGCTGTCAACAGCCGCTGACGTGTGTTGATAAAGTTACTTCAAACTGATGACGTCGTTGATTCCACGTTGGCCCGGACGTGGCACTCTGCAGTTACAGCGCCGTGTGGACGTCGCCCCGGATCACTGTGAAGCTACCGCACGTCGCGTCTGCTGTGGCTCATATCGGTTGCTTTTTCCCCCCTCTCCACCCTCGGCTAAACATGGGGCTCACCATCTCGTCGATCTTCAGCCAGTTGTTTGGCAAAAAGCAAATGAGGATTTTGATGGGTGAGTGAGGAGAGCTGTGGCTTCTAGCTCTGTGGCTTCTAGCTGTAGCTAACGCAGCTAACGATAGACGGACACACAGCTTGTTCTCGGTGGGCTCCTGCGGTTCTCCGACCTTTTTTTTTATTTTTTTTTTAAAGTATAAACTTAAAAACAGAAGCGACGAATTAGTACGCAGCTTAGGGACATTTAATTCACTTTCGTTTTGAAAGCGAAATGTGAAATGTTTTAGCTTTTGGATGTCGGGTGTGTTTTCTTAAAGGATGTTTGGTAATTAAAGTGTGCTAGCGGCAAGTTTATCCTGAAAACAGATAAATTAAAGTTAAACCTTTTTAAAAAAAAATTATAATAGCTTTATTATTTTTTTGACTTTCTTTGCCGAGTGTTTCTTTTATCGACTATGTTACTGACATGATAACAGTAGCTTAGTTGGGAGAAAATGGCCGTTTATTCATCATCTATTTAATAAAACAAAAAGCCTCTTATCTTGTATTAGTTAGTGAACCAAACATGTTAACTTCTCTGCTTCTGTTAGTTATTGGGTAACTAACTAACTCCTTATGACGTGTGATGCGTTAATATTTCCTTCCTGTTTCCGGAGAGTTAAGAAAACAATAAGTAAGGAGTGATGTGTTCTCGATTATGTCACTTCATCAATAATAAGAGCAGCTGTAATATTAGTTTTTTCCTCCCTCAGTACTCAGTGCAGATGATTAGCTTGGTGCAGTCACATGTGTTATTGCCTTTCCTCTACTGTCTGCTGATTAGATCTATAGGAAAACCACTATTGTGCAATTTACAGCAGGCTGTTATCCATAGCTCTGTCCTCTGATATTCTTTCATATGTTAATTATTTATTTATTTATTTATTATTTTTTAAATTCCTTTTAGTTGGGCTGGATGCTGCCGGAAAGACAACCATCTTGTACAAATTGAAGCTTGGTGAAATCGTAACCACCATCCCAACCATTGGTAAGACATGTTACTTTTAAAATCAGCTTATGGCCATTTTGACCATTTTAATGTGTACCTCAACATATTTTACTCGTTGAACTTGTGTGTACCGTGTTATTTTAAAATATTTCCTCTCTCTTTCTTCTGTACAGGTTTCAATGTGGAGACAGTAGAATATAAAAATATCAGTTTCACTGTATGGGATGTGGGTGGCCAGGACAAGATTAGACCCCTCTGGAGACATTACTTCCAAAACACACAGGTATGATTGTGACTGCCCCAGTGCTGTGGGACTACTTCAGGTTTCATATTGCAAAGCTAAACCATGTTTAACACAATAGCTGTAGTAGTATGCAGCTCTCAAACTTCTACTCAGATCACCAAGTGAAGCTGTTTCAGTACAACACTTTGATGAACCAGAACAATAGCTTAAGGAATTAACTACTTGGATGCTGTTTTTGTTTTTTCAACTAGGGCCTCATCTTTGTAGTGGACAGTAATGACAGAGAAAGAGTGGCAGAGTCTTCCGAAGAGCTCTCAAAGATGGTAGGTATTTAAAGTGTAACTACACCAATTAATTCTGCTAGCTCCCTCCCTCAGCAAATAAAAAAATGCATCATAGACCTGCAAAGGTCAGTGACTTTGGGGGTGTGGCCTTGACACCGACCGGAGTGAGTGACTGGCCACAGCAGTGAAGCTGGAACAGCGAGCTGGTAGTCAGAGCTCTCTCTGTGTCTGCGCTGGAAACAGAGTCCACTGGAGCTTTTACAGTCACTGGAACTATCAGGGCTCTTTGTGAAAGTTTCTGTGTGGTGGCTAAACTAGTAGATATCTAGATATGGCTGCTTTCCGTGCGGCCGCCATATTTTCTACTTGGAGAAGGGGGTGGGTGAAGAGGGCGTTTCAATCTGCAACTACAGCACTAGGTGCCACTAGATGCTAGTGGATTACAATCCTCCACACCACCGGGGATCAGTATGGATTCAAACTAAAACCTGTATCTGTTTGTTCATGACTTAGGTAAATAATGTTGTCAATATATCCAAAAAGAGCAGGTTCTCTTTGTGTGCATTGCATGAGTAACCCATGAGTTTAATCCTTATATTCTCTGTCAGGGTTTCTGATATAGCCTGTGGTTAACTTCTTGATGAGTCAGCAATGAGGACAGACAAAGAAATAACGTGTAAACTCATGAAATGCCACTTAACCAGGGTTCTGTTTTTGTGACACTACATTGCATTTTTGTTTTTTGTTTGTATTTTTTATACACTGGATGGTTAGTTCACTTTGACATTGTTTTATCGTTCATGTTACGTGCCTTTTTTAACCCTTAGGTGTTGTGGGTCAGTAAGCAAAGAGGATCAGAGTAAAGTTTTGTTTTGTTTGTAAAATGTGAGCAAACTGTTTTGTTTAACCATGATTCTTGCGACACCACTTCTTAAACTGTCAGGGGTTTAAAAATATGTTAAAGTGTCTTTGTTTATTTCATTTATATCAGGGGCATGGGCCAAAAAATGTTTCTCTAAAACTGACTTGTAAAATGTCTTTTAGACTTCTTATGAAATTCCCCTTAAGGACTCACAACAAACCAGTCGTATAATCTCACTGTAAATTCATGTACTGGAACAGTTCGATCTGCTTTTAGTGTTTTTCCATGAAATCTCAGAACTGATGTTCTAATCTGTTTTCTGCCCTTCTAGTTGATGGAGGATGAGTTGAAAGACGCAGTTTTGCTGGTGTTTGCTAATAAACAGGACCTTCCCAATGCCTTATCAGTCAGTGAACTCACAGACAAACTCGGCCTACACGCCCTCCGCAACAAAACTGTAAGTAATCTGAGTCGAAACATGCTCCTTACACCTGCAGTAAAACTCAAACCTGCAACTGTGCACAGAGCTGCGTTCATATCTAACTCGCGCCATCTCTGACCCTACAGTGGCACATTCAGTCAACCTGCGCCACCCAGGGCACTGGGCTCTACGAAGGACTTGACTGGCTATCCAAAGAGTTGTCCAAGAACTAATGAAGGAACAGCTGGACAGATGCGAGAGCGAGAGAGACTGAACACCACATCACAGGAGAAGGCACAGACATTCGATCCATCAACATTTGGTCTTCCACCACCAATGTTCACAAAAAAGGACAAGGCTGGTGGACTATATAATCATCTGTGGGGAATTTTTAATATCTCATATTTTTTCTTTTATTATCAATATTCTTAGTATATTATCTCTTGACATAGTCTCTATTTTCCTCCTTTTGTTTCCAAACTCTTACATGGCAACAGGTTGTATTTACACATTCAGTTGCGTGATGAGCAAATGGCCAGTTGGGGAATTTTCATGGAAACAAGCAATAGAGTGACAGGAGTTGTTTTTCCACTTCACACATTGGCTCCTGTCTAGTCAGTGTTTGCTTTAATGAACCACTTCTATAATTGTTGGACTTACTTATTGTTGAGCCTAGGTTGGGGAATATGATAGTGTAATCCTAGAGCTTTGGTGAAGGATAACTTGTTGGGAGCCGTACGTTGTTCACCTCCACAGCCCTTTGTGGATATGTGACTCCCTTGCAGACCCTTTGCTCTTCATTGCTATGTCCTCAATCTCATACCAACTCATTTCTGTAAAGGCCTGTCGCCCATAGAATGAGATGGATGAGGATTGCGGTGATTTCACAGGTAGCTTTTGTTGGTAGTGTGGAACCACGTTGCCTCCCAGTAAATGGATCTAAAAAGGAACATTGTGCCTAATGGTCCCTCTTTACACAAATCTGAGTAACCCTTTCTGTATCTCATACTTACACCATGCTCCCTCTTAAAATGCTTTAGTGACTCTTGCCTTATGAAAGACAAAATAATGCAATAAGACACTTCCTCCTTGTGTGCAAAGTGTATGTGTTGGTGGTACAGCAGAACCACACCAGTGTGAGTGTTCATCATGCTTCTTTGCAACTTGACTTTTCACCTATAAACCCAGGATCTTTTCTTGTTTAACATTGGAATTTTGTCCTCAACGTCCTCTTTCCTTCCTTTTTTTTCTAACCACATGAAAACATCTTTTTTTTTTTTTTTTTACCTGTAAAGGAAGGAAGCATATTTTCCAAGTGTTTGACAAACATGGCCAGTGTCGTGCAACAACAGTTAAGTAAAGCAATGTTTTTTGCTGTGGTTTTCTGTCCCTTTTTTTTTTCCCATATAAAGAGTTAAACGTCTTTAACTCTTCATGTGACTGATGTGAAAAACCCTGCTATTAGTTATTAAACCTACTTTTAAAGATACAACTTTCTACTTTTGATAAATAAAATACGACAACAAACAAAAAGGTGATTTTTGGAAATATTTATTTTCAAAATAATTATATTAAGTATTTACAAAATTACTTTCTGTGACTAACGTTGAACAATGTGCAAAATTAGCCCCTTTATCATCCTGAATGACCCCACACTGAGGACCACGCAGCAGTACCACCCTGGCTTTGTCCTCACAGCGTCAGGAAGTCCACCTCGTTAACTTAAACACTGAACTAATCACTTTAGTTGAACCTCACAGTACATCTTATATCAGACATGATCTTACAGCAGTGCACCATAAACAGACTGACTAACAGAATGTGAAGATCACCTCCTAATCTGCTGAACGGGACATCGGGGAACCTCTGTGTGCTCGATCCATAATCCCAG